CCATCATCTCTAGAACGTTTCATTTTCCTAAACTGAAACTCTGTCCTCATTAAATACTAACTCCCCATTCCTCTTCTCCAAGTCCCTGGCACCCATCTTTCTATGTTCTGTCTCTATGAATGTGACTCCTCTAGTCATCTCACATAAGTATAATCATGTAATATTTATCCATTTGGAATATATCAACTTTGACATTTCAAAACCTGAACTTATGAAGTTTCTTTTCCTTGCCAAATTTGCTCCACCACAATCCTCCCTCTCTCAATGAATGCAATTCCATTCTTTCAGTTGTTCAGGCTCCAATCCCTGGAGTCATTCTTGTCACTTCTCTTTTTCTCATCCCATATTTTGCCTGGCAACCTGTCCTCTTGGCTCCACCTTCAAAATATAGCCCAAGTGAGCACTTCTGAATTCTTTTCCTACTATCTCTCCCAGGTCCTAGCTACCTATAGCTCACCCAGCTTGCTGCAGTCAGTTCCAAGAAGCCTTCCTCACGCTGTACAATTCATTCTCAACCCAGCAGTGAGAATGATTTTTAAAAATTCTAATCTTGTCATGTGTCTGCTCAAAACCCAGGAAGGACTCTCCACTTCACTCGGAGAAAATGAAAGAAAAAGTCCTTTGTGGTTTTTTTGAGGAAGATTAGCCCTGAGCTAACTACTGTCAGTCCTCCTCTTTTTGCTGAGGAAGCCTGGCCCTGAGCTAACATCGTGCCCATCTTCCTCTACTTTATATGTGGGACGCCTACCACAGCATGGGGTGCCAAGTGGTGCCACGTCCACACCTGGGATCCGAATCGGCAAACCCTGGGCCACCAAGAAGCGGAATGTGCGAACTTAACCACTGTGCCACCGTGCCACCCCGAAAAAGTCCTTTAATGACGGAGAAAGCCTCACTGATCAGCCTCTGATACCTGTCTTCCTCTTCTACTATGCTCCCCTTCATTCTCTCTACAGAAGCCACATTCTCCCCAGGCCAATCTAACCTCAGGATGTTTGTAATAACCTTACACTCTGCCTAGGGCTGTCTTTCCCCAGATATGCACTCACTTAGGTCATTCACTGTCTTAATAGATGTACTTTCTCAATGCTGTTTATTAAGATCATCCTTTATAACATGATACATAAACTTCCCACACTCCTTATCCTCTTTATCCTGTGGAGTTGAGCCTAATATAGTGACTGACACATAGTAAACACTCAGTAAAAATAAGTTTGATAAATTGAATAAACAAATGTAGTTCTGAAGGAGCTGCCAATAACATTGTCTCCAAATCACATCTGATTGGTCCAAGGTAGGAAGAGAGAATGATTGTGTCAATTAGAATTCTTTTCTGAGCTTTTTCATGTTTTCAGACATGAGGAGCTAAAATAAATCCAGTTCCTCTTTAGTGGTGAAGCTACTAGGTGTGAGTTGTGAGAGCTGCTGGTTTATGAGTCTCTTTCCATGTGGAGGCAGCCAGTCTGAGAAAACAAAGCTGATAATCTGAATGGAAGTCTTCACAGCATTTGAGTCCCTGTATCTGGTGTCCAGCTGAGCTTCTACTCAGATGAATGAGGAAATTCTATTCTATTACTTGCTACCAAAACCAATCTGTCTTGTGCATGCTTATATTTATGAGAGCCAGGAACATGAGAAGATCCTGCCCAATGAAAATCAACAAGCAGTGCCATAACAGACCCTCTACCTTCTCAGCTCAAGGCCTTATCAATCAATTATTGGTAACTGGTAACTCACATATATCTCTTAGAGTAGATTTAATGATAGCCTCCCAAAGATATTTGAACCTGTGAATATGTTACCTTAGATGGCAAAAGGCACTTTGCAGGTATAATTAATCAAGGATCTTAAGATAGAGAGATTATCCTGAATTATCTAAGTGAGTTCAACGTAACCATAAGTATCCTTATAAGAGGAAGACAGGTTGGCTACAGAGAGATTTGAAGATAGCATATTGTTGACTTTGAAGACAGAGGATGGGGCCAGGAACCAATGAGTGAAAGAAGCCTCAAGAATTAGGAAAAGACAAAGAAAGAGATTCTCCTCTAGATCCTCCAGAAGGACAGCTTCCCTGTTGACACGTTAGATTTCTGACCTCCAGAATTGTAATATAATACATTTGTGTTGTTTTAAGCCACTAAACTTCTGGTACTTTGTACAGCAACAAGAGGAAACTAACACGTCTTTCTTCCAAAATCTACTCCTCTTATTGCTACTGTTTTAAGTCAGGTCCCCATCATATCTCCCCTGGATTATTTCCAGCCCACTAACTGTTCCTTCTGCCTCCAATTTCTCCCAATCAGGCCAAACCTAAATTCTTCATATTATATGAATGATCACAGCATGGCTTTTATTCTCAATTGCTTATAAAATCCTTAGTATGTCAGATTAGACTCTCAATGGTCTGTCCTCCATCTACATATCCAATGTCACTTCCACTATCTCAGTCGTAAGTTTCATATGTCTCATTCTTGTATGTCTCTTGAATGTCTCCCAAATATACTCTCCCATAAGGTTTCTACTCATTATTCGTTCTTCAACCGTCACACATATTCTCCTATTAGAATATTTTCCTGAATCGCAAGTGGTGGTGAATGTGTGAGAAAACTAGAACATTCATGCTTTCCTAGGGGAATGTAAACTGGAGCAACTACTTTGGAAAATAGTTTGAAAGTTTCTTAAAAAGTTAAACATGAATTTACCATAAAGGACAGTAATTGCACTCCAAGGTATCTACTAAAGAGAAAGGAAAATGCATGTCAACAAAGAGACACATGCACAAATGTTTATAGCAGCATTATTCATAATAACCTCAAACTGGAAATATCCAAATGTCCATCAAGCCGTAACTGAATAACCAAAATGTGGTATATATATACAATAGAATATTATTCCAAAATCAAAAGGAACAAAATATTGATAAATACTTCCACATAGATGAGCCTTAAAAACATATGCTAAGTAGAAGAAGCCAGATAAAAGGACCACATATTGTATGATTCCATTTATATAAAATATTTAGAAAGAAGGAAATTTATGAACACAGTAAGCGATAAGTGGCTTCCTAGGGCTGAGGTGGTAATGTGAATTAACTGCAAATGGACACAAGGGTACTTTTTGAGGTGATAGACATATTCTAAAACTGGATTGTGATAATAATTGCATAACTCCATAAATGCACTAAAATCATTGAATTTACATTATCATGGGTGAATTTCACATATGAAAATTATACCTCGATAAAAATGTTAAAAAGTAAATGTCTAAAGAGTTTTTCCTGGAATTACTCAAGGTGACTTGAGAACTTTTATCTGTGTTTTTCTTGAGATCTATTACACACAAATATTATCGTGCTCACCCCTCTCTATTGTAATCATTTGTGTCTTTCTGGTCCCCTCCTTAATTTGGACACAGTAGACAATAAATGCACGTTGTATTAAATTCATGGAATGAATGTGAATTGAAGTCTCATCAAATAGGTCTTTCATCTCTAGAAAATTATAATTTTGAGTAATTTTGCAATCCTTATCACGTATCCAATAATTAGTTTCTTTTTTCTCTCAAAATCTCTAAATACTTTCATAGTAATTTCTTGATACATCAGAGCCTTTATCACCTTCATTAGTTTTGGTTCCCACAGAAGCAGAGGCTAAGCCAAGGAATAATGTGCAAGCTCTTTACTGGAAGGAGCAACAAATGGATGGGAGACAGGAGAAGTGGACACAGGAAAGCAAATATGTCCAATAAAGCTTGCATTAAGTCAGTTGCAACAGGAAATGAGCAGAGTTTCATCCTGTAGGGAAACTCTGGAAAATGATACAAAATTCACCCTCAGAATTGTCCCAAGTAAAAAGTGAAGGAGATGGCATACCCCACACCTCTCCCTCAAGAGCTGTCTCTGATGTGGCATAATTCAGTGTCACTTCTGCCACTACAAGGGGGAAAAGCAGGTCCAGTCTCTGCTGGCCATTGGCAGTCATGCAAAGGAGATGGTAAGAGAATCCTGGAGAACATGTGAGGAACATTAACAGCATTTACTACTCCATCTTTTCCTGAAGACTCAATTCTATCAACATTCTTCTCAAAAAATGAGTTAAGTTATCAACACCTTCCACACATGTGTAATTACAACTCTGATGGCACCTCTATGATACCAGAAAAAAAGTTAAAGCACTTGAGAAAACACATGTGATTCAATTGTATTGATTATTACATGTTTTAGGATCTTAGAGGGTGTATCAAAATTGCAGTAATGGGAAATGAAGATCAAATAAGAGAAGTAAAGGAGGAAAGGAAGGATCATAAAGAATGAAGTAACACCTCAGAGTTATTCTGCCTGGTATAGTACTAGGAATCATCTGAACAAACCAGCTTTTAAATCTACATTCTTACTTTGAAGTTGAAAATCTCATCACTTTTCCTATGAAAAATAGGATAGCAAAGTCAGTGTCAGCTACCCAGGTTAGAACCCAACTCAATCTCAGTTTCTTCTTTTGCATAGCATGGTGAATGTGAGAAAATACCTGAAAGAAATGTTTTCAAGATGAAATAAGTCATACATGTAAAGAAACAAGCACAGTCCTGATGTGGTAAGTGCTTGTGTGACTGCAGTATAATTTTCACTCCATTTGTTCTGGAAAAACAAACCCACAACCAAAGGAAGGTGAAGAACATCAACATTTGAGAGTACAATTTTTGGAGAAACCACATCAGCACTTGATATGACAAGTGCTTTAAATCTAAAGTTAGAAATCTTAAGAATCGATGAAAGAAGGGGACCAAACATGGAATTTTATGGACAGAGAATAAGCAAGAAAAGTCAAAAAGACCCTACTGAGGAGGTTGTTGAGGAGAAACTAATACAAACAAATAAATGTTTAATTTGGGAATTGAAGAAATCAAACATTTCTTTTAGAGCAGAAAAAGAACCAGGAGATTTAAAGTCTCAACATTTGCTTTGGGGCCCACAATGTCCACTAAATTCTGAGGCCAGTGACCCATCACAGACAAGAGGCTGCTCTGCTGAGGGGCCTTCCCAGGGCTCTCTTAACATCCTTGTTCCTCAGGCTGTAGATGAAGGGGTTCAGCATGGGGGTGACCACAGTATACATCACTGAGGCGATTGAGTTTCTCTGGGAAGAATGGATCACAGCAGAACTCAGGTAAACCCCTAGGCCTGTTCCATAGAATAAGGAGACCACTGAAAGGTGTGACCCACAGGTGGAAAATGCTTTATACTTTCCCTCAGTAGAATTCATCTTCATTAAGGAGGAGACAATATGAGCGTAGGAAAAGAGGATTCCAGTGAGAGGAAACACACACAGCAGGGCAGTTGTCACATACAAAAAGATGTTATTAATTAGAGTGTCAGAGCAGGCTAATTTGAGAACCTGAGCCAGTTCACAGAAGAAATGTGGAATTTCTGTGCCTATACAGAATGTCAACCTCATTATTAACAGAATATGAATCAAGGATATCCAGAAAATGATGAGCCAAGATATCAGAACCAGGAGGCCACAAAGGCGTGGGTTCATGATCACTGTGTAGTGCAGGGGGTGGCATATGGCCACAAACCGGTCATAGGCCATCACGGTCAGGAGGAAATTGTCCAGTCCAACAAAAATTGTAAAAAAACACACTTGAGTGAGACATCCCATGTAGGAAATGTCTTTGCTCTGTGTCTGGATGTTCACTAGCATCTTTGGGATGGTGGTGGAGATGAAGCAGATGTCTACGAATGACAGATTGGAGAGGAAGAAGTACATGGGGGTGTGGAGGTGGGAGTCAGTGCCGATGGCTAGGATTATGAGCAGGTTCCCAAGCACAGTGATCAGGTACATGGACAGGAACACTCCAAAGAGCAGGGGCTGCAGTTCAGGATCCTCTGAGAGACCCAAGAGGAGGAATTCTGAGACTTCGGTGTGGTTTCCTGCTTCCATGTAGCTGGTGTGTCTTCTGGAGAAGGAGGCAAAACCAAGGTGCAATGATCATTCAGTTGGAACCTCAGCTAGTCAGCACCTCTTGATTCCATGTTTTGATGGATAAATTCACCCTCTCCTGAGTCTTTCCAATAACAGTAACTCACTCATTCAATTGGTAGCCCATTTCCATTTTAAATGTGTGTGATCACTCAGTTTCTTTAATTTAGCAGAAATCTCTCTCTCTCTCTTTTTCTCCTACTCACTGGTTCTAATTCTCTTATTCAAATCTATGGACATAAATTAATTTCTTCTTTGATATGACTCTTAGTTGAACACCGTTAAGATCTTTTCTTTGGTAATGTCCATATTTCCTTCATTCTAATAACTCTATGATAGTGATTAAGACATGGATTTGCAATTCGAACAACCTTAATACTGTGACCTGATGCTTCCAATTGATGTCACAGTGAACCTTCTTGTGTCTTATAATTTTTCTTTCTAAAAATGTGGTTACTGGGGCCGACCTGGTGGCACAGTAGTTAAGTTCATGCACTCTGCTTTGGTGGCTCAGTGTTTGCAGGTTCGGATCCTGGGGGCAGACCTACACACTGCTCATCAAGCCATGCTGTGGCAGCATCCCACATACAAAATAGAGGAAGATTGCCACAGATGTTTGCTCAGGGACAATCTTCCTCAAGCAAAAAGTGGAAGATTGGCCATAGATGTTAGCTCAGGGCCAACCTTCTTCATCAAAAACAAAAAAAAAAGTTAAAAATGTGGTTACTGCTATTACCTTCTTTGTAAAGTTTAGAAATACCTTTATGCACAGTAGGTGCTCAATAAATGATGGTTATCATCATTATTAATCTGTTCCTTGTATGACAATTATTTTTGATATATAACTCTACAAAAGTATGGTATAGAGATGTGATTTAGAAGATAGGATCTTGAGTCAGACTTCCTGGAATAGAATTTTGGTCCACGAATTTACTGTGTGACCTTGAGGAAGTTATTTAATCTTTCTTAGCTGCAGATATCTCTCCTATAGAACGGGAGTAGTAAATATTCCCTGCATTGCAAATCTGATGAGTGAATTAAATGAGATGATGCATGCAATTTTTCTAGTGTGATTCCTGTGACATACAGAAGATGTTTGACAAATGTGAGTTTCTGTTCTTAACATCACAATAAATATGTATTACATGGCCATCATTTCTCAATATTCTCTCTAAACTAGGGTAATCATCAAGGATGGAATTCTGACCATTATAAACACAACAGCTCTATCACCTCTTTTGATCACCATTCAACACTTCTGTTTAGTGAAGGTCCCTATGGCTCCCCCTTTCAGAGACTGCCCGCCAGGTGGTTTCTTCCACGGAGAGAAAAAAAGATGTGGACTACATAGATAAGAGGAAGAAACAAATCACAAAACCATTAAAACAATGTACAAAGCACGTGTGAGAGTGTTTGCTCATGTGTATGTGCTCAGAAGTAAGGAAGTATTGTACTAAAAATCAGTATAGTTAATTTAAAAAATATATGATTGATTGATTTGATAAAAAAATATTCAAAGCTTCAATAAATAAAATCTTCCTAAAAGTTGAAAGGCAAATTTAAGATCTGATGATAAATGTTTACATTCTCTGTGACAGAAAAATGTCAATGTCATTAATGCCTAGAGGATGCTAATTAATTAGAGAGAGAAAAAAGTTATTGATGATCAATTTACTCTGGGGAGGTGAGTGGAAAAGGCTTCTCTGAAATATGAATATTTGAGCTGTGAGAGGAAGAATGGGTAATTATTAACCAGGGGAAATAAGGAAAGGGCAGTCATTTTAGGCTGAGAGAACAGAATTCAGAGTTGCCATATGAGTTGATGAGCTTTGGAATAGAAGCAATTTGAAAAGCCAGTGAGATGGAGAACAGAGAGTGAGGGTCAGGAGGCCAGAGTGTGTGAGGTCAACAAGTCCAGCATCCTGTATTATTCCTTCATGTGCCTCTCATGTTGGTAATTGTATGTTTATTTATGGGTCAGAGGACATGAGTGTTTCTGCTCACCATTCTGTTTCCAGTGACTTACTTGGGGCCTGGCACAAAGAAGTTGCTCAACATATACAAATGTTAGATGGATAATAAAGGTTGAGACCCAAAGCATCAACTATGACACAAAAAAAGAAATCTTCAAGCTCACATATGCCTGACTATAGACACAAAATTGAATCGTAATGTTAAATATAATGAAGTCACATCTATTTTAAGATAATAACATATCATGAATAAGTAATACTTATTCCAGGAATGGGAAGCTGGTTTAATACTGTGATGTTTATTAACATAATTCATCACAAATATAGGTCAATGAAGAGAATCATAACCATAATCACAATAGAAAATGCATTTGAGAGAATGTAACAGCAACTACTGTGGTTAGCAGCCTGGACAGAGTCTCTCGCTAAATGAGGAAACCAAGAACAATTTCTTAACCCAATAAAGAATGGTTGTTTTATAACTACAGCCAAGAGGCTGTTTTACATTAAAAAAGCTAAAGTATTTGTGTAAATTCATGAACAGGCCAAGGCAGTCTACTCCAACTTCAATCACACAATAGTCTCCTGAGCATTTAAAAAGATTGGTAAGATGAGAAAAGGAAATTGGGCTAAGTACCGAACATCAGAAATAATTACATCATTTGTACATGATGTTGAGGACACTAAGGTGAAACAATAACAATCAGTACAGAACTATTAAGTGCCATCAGTGAGTTGTATCTGCTGCAAAAATAGTTAGGAAATACAATAGAAAAAATCCAATCACACAAGCAATAAAATAGACAGTACCTGGTGCATAATAGATCTCCAGTGAGTGGTTAGTGAATAAATGATTGGACACAGGAAATCCAACAGCAATCTACAATTTATGAGAAAGAGTAGAGAAGAGGTGGAGACTCTCAGAAAAATAACTCTTATCAGAGAAAGCCTCTAGATTCATAAAAGAGACAGAAAGAAAAATAACAAGAGCTGGGAAGGACTGGGTTCAACAGAAACTAAAGTCCTTCAAAGTACAGAGACTTCATCACAGTAAACTAAATAAATATGGGACTGTCCCAGTCTTGATACTCTAGAGGTAAAACCCAGTACAGACTTTCTCTCCTCTTTTCCTTCTTACTCCACCAGCCCTCACTGGTATACTTTGACCCTTTCTGACTGATATCACTAAAACTTTCTGTTTTCTGAGGTCTGTCACTGGGAAGCCCAATTGGTTTTGCATTTGACTGGGATCAGAGAATTATGGGTAAGGGTCAAAAGAAACATATTTAAAGTTTCCAGTCTCTAAGGGCTGAATTCTCAGAGCTTCTCATTAAATAAATTGTTGTACTGACTGTCCTCACTCCAAACAATTCAGCTCTCTTGGGGTGCAAAGATAAGAGAATGAAAACTCATCAGCCAATGTTGCATCTGTGTAAGCAACAGTGGGGGAAGAAGCAGCTGTTTTTTTTCCACGGAGAAATTCCTCTTTTGGTTTGATTAAAAGTGACACGGTGTCCCCTAAGGAAAGTTTAATTTCTACAGGCATCAAACCTAGGGAAAAACTCTCTGTGATGTTCTTTTCTTGAAGAATCTTTGTTGATTTCAAGTATCACTTGGTATCCACAATGTCATGGAGGCAAAAGATCTTTCTGAAGAAAATCACAGTGGCTCATAGTTTGGGTTTTGTTGAAAGGGCTAATCAAATGAGAACTAAAAAGTATCCCTTGGCATTTGCGAGTAACATGGAAGCTTTTCTTGCTATGAGGGATAGTGCCACTTGTTACTTCTAAATAAAGAGACAGAGGCAGAAATAATCCAAGTACAGTGGGTTGAAGAGTGAATATTGAAGCAACATAGGTAGCACATATGAATCATATATAAAGTCTGTCAGGAAAAGGTAGTACAGAGGTAAAATAATGTTGAAAGGGAGTATAGAGTATGTGAGAGTTAAAAAAAATAGTGGAAGATATGGGAAGACATTTCATTTTGAAGAGAATTATCATATTTCATGCAGACATTCAGATACACAGAAAGTGCTGACTACATAATTCACAGGGTACAGTATACACTCTAAATCAACGCCGATAATAATGTGCTGTATCTCCAATTTAGAGAATACATGGGTCCAGAAATCAAGGGTTAGAAGTAGAGGTGGCCCCACCTAACATCACTCCTGGGAGCCACTTGGGGAGTTTGTGCTTCAGGTCTCCACAAATCTGGCCTCTGCAGGTGTGGAGGTCTTGATTCCTAAAAGATAACACTTCCAGAGACATGGCAAAATCCCATTAAACTTCAAGCTGTACTCCTGCCTGCCACTTCAAGTCTCTCATGCCAAGAATGGTCACCACCCTAGCAGGTATAATTGACCCAGTCATTGATGTCATTGCGTGACCAGGACAATCTGTATGCACCGGTAGTCTGCTCTGCTCCCAGTGGGAGCAGCCCAGGAGCAACCTCAGCGTAAACACAGTTGTAGATGCAGATAGCTATTGGTCACTTATGTTCCCATAGCAAGAGAGCTGAGTGGTGTGACCTTCATTGAGGCAGGTTCCTTCAGCTGAGGGCAATTCTCAAAGACAGTGAGGTCTGAGGAATGTCAGATGGCTGCACTCCCTGCACCTGGAAGAATAAACCCTTAATCTTGAAAGAGGATCTGGGCAATGCAGCACAGCATTCACTAGAGTCCATCCCTTTGGACATGTGGATCAACCTTTTTTTTTTTTTAATTTAGATATAATTGACATGTAACATTATCTTAGTTCCAGCTGTACAACATAGTGATGCAATATTTGTACATGCTGCGAAATTATTACCACAATAAATCTAGTTAACATTCATCACAACGTGTAGTTACATTTTTTTTGTTGTTGTTATGAGAACTTCAAGATCTACTCTCTTAGCAACTTTCAAATATACAATACAATATTATTAACTATAGTCACTATTCTGTGCATTTATTTATTTAAGTTTGTACCTTTTGGCCTCCTTCAC